GGTTCGGCGCCAACAACCACGGCGGCGTAGACCCCTGCACCGATGGGGAGTCACAGACGGAAGTATTCATGATGTAACACTCTGGTATCAGGAGGTTTTTTTTTTACCAGAGAATGTACAAATACAGGGTGTTCATCCATACCTCACCACCAGAGGGCAGTCTCCTTTACACTCTGGTAAACTACTGGGAGTGTTGTAAATAAGTGAAGTTGTTGATGGCACTGACATGTTTCTGGATTTGTTGTTTTAACCAATGGGTACATTTTTTTTTTTTTAATTGACCTTGACCTTAAAGGTCACAGAGTTTACTGTGTGTAGATACAGCGTTTCTGATTGACGTCGACGTGATTTATCCTGTTCCCTTTCGAACAGATCTGTTTTATGTCCGAGTGTGAGGAGAAGAAGAAGAGAGAGAATCTGCAGATGTTTAGACGTGAGCGCTCTTATCAGCGTGGCGGGCTGTAAAACCTACTCTCTGATTAGGTCACGTTGTAGTATTTGTGTGTACCTGTGTGTACACAGTCCTCTGTGGTGCAACAGGGCGGGGTGTGTCCGTGTGTTTGCCGTGTGTTTGTGAGACCCCTGGCTGTGACCTTTGAGCGTTTCCTCTTTCTTCCTCACACCTTTCAGCGGTGAACTCAGAGTTAGCCCTTATCTCCTCAGCTCTCCGTCGATTTATTACTCCTCCATGATCACAACAGAAGCAGCAGATAAAAAAAAGAAAAGAAAAGAAATGTGCTGGTGCTGGTGCTGCTGCTGCTGCTGCTGCTGCTGCTACTGCTGCTGTCAGTCCTGATCTACAAAGATCTTTGATCATCACCTACCAGAGAGGTTCCTTATCGTAACGGACAAAATCGAACGTGGACATGAATATAATCAGCAGGACGTTGTTTCACGGTGTAGAACCAGGATCCACCTGGTTCTGGGTGTTTTACACAGCAGAACCACAGGGTCCGACGTCAACTCCTGGAACACCAGGAAACTGGAATAGAAGAATATGACACACAGCGTCCATTCTGGCCTCTCTTGAAGTTCTGCAGCGCCCCTCTGTGGAAAACTCCTGGACTTACCTTATATAACACACGTGTCAAACTCAGGCCCGGGGGCCAAAGCTGCCCCGCAGTGGAATTTTATTTGGGCCGCATATAGCTCCTATATACTGGCAGGATTTATAGTATTAGCGGTGAATGCACTATGTTATAGCACATACTTTTTTTTTTTTTCAATTGTCGGTCCCTGGAAAAAAGGATTAAAATTAAACAAGAACTGGAACTGGTTACAGATAAAGAGACACAATATTTTGAATTGAATTTCTCATGTGTTTGTTTATGTTTATGTGTTTCACCCCTGTTATATAACTGTAGCCAAAATTCTTAGCCAGTCTCAACAAGCTATAGTGGTAGGAAGAAGTTTAATTTTTTTAGTTGGTTGCAGAAACGACTCAAAAGAGACATTTGTTTTTAACATTTATTTATTTTTGTCCTAGAACATGTCTGTATGACTGACTGTCTGACTGACTGACTGACTGACTGTCTGTCTGTCTGACTGACTGTCTGACTGACTGACTGACTGTCTGACTGACTGTCTGTCTGACTGACTGACTGTCTGACTGACTGACTGTCTGTCTGACTGTCTGTCTGTCTGACTGTCTGTCTGTCTTTCTGTCTGACTGTTTGTCTATACAGATGTTCACGTGTGACATCACTGTCAATAACAGTTTTTTTTTCTTTTTTTCTTTTTTTTTTTTGTTGAGTTAGCAGAAGATCTAACCAGGAAACAGTTTCCCCTACAGGCCAGGAAATGCATCATTCTCTGACACACACACTCATAGTGCCACTCCTCCCCTCTCACACACACACACACACACTCAAAGGCAGTGAGAGGACATCCTGCCCAGTTGTATATATGTGTCACTGCTGACGGCTGCGACTCCACACCAGGTAAAACTCAGCTCCGTGTTTTCAGTTTCTCTCTCTCTCTGTCTCCCCCGACTCCCTGTTTTCTTCTTCTTCTTCTCTGGGTTTCTTTACAGACTTTATGAATCGTTACGCTGACGTTTGTCGCTGTGTTGTAACTGTTCTGTTGCTGAACATGTGAAAACTAGTCTGTCTGATGGTGAGGGCTGTGGAAACATCTCTGATGTCGGGAGTTTATGATCAAACAACTGATGTATATATGTAAATATATATATAAATACATACATGCATATTGTCATAAGCGATAAACACACTTCACGTGACTCTGTCATCGACCATGTGGAACAATTTTATAGGATTCAGTCAATATGGTTCACTACATATATGTAAATACATATACATATATGTAGGTGTATATACAGTATATGGATAAATATATGTACGTATATATAATTCTGAATTTAATTCTGATTAATCACAGAGTAATAATTGCAAATAATCATAATAAATTGTGGCTCTAATTAATCATGATTGATCAAAATAAATCAATAAATGTAAAGATGACAGAACAGACAAATAACAGCAGTTCGATGTATGTGTTTCACACCTGTTTTTAGGTGTAAATGATCCAAACGACAGAATTATTAAGATGGAAAAATTGTCAAGACAAATATAGAAAAGTGTGTCTGTCAGAATGTGTCTTCACAGAGTTGAGGCGTTTCAGTCAGACCTGAGTGACACCAGCCGGGGCCGCAGACCTGAAGTTGAAGCAGTGATCTGAAGCTGCTTCAGTCAAACAAATCATTTTCCCCAGGGCGTGTTCAAATAACAAGATGTGTGTTGACGGTGTAGCACGGCAACGACACGAGTGTGGACGACGTCGTACTGGGTTAAAGTGTGTCAAAAATGTTGAATCTGATTTAATTTAAAATGAATCAACAACAGCCGTCATTCATCAGTGAGTAAAATACTCCTGAAGTTTTTGGTTTTTTTTCTTTCACCTCGAAGGTTGTGGGTTTACGTGCAGGTTGTGTGTTGTGTGTTGGTGTGTTTGTTGCTGTTTATGCAGGACTGGACTGAAGCGGGGGAAACCAGATACAGTGTGTAAAGTCACAACACTGGAGCAGCAGAGCGGTGGTGCAGCGGCAGCGATTTCCTGCCTGTTAGTTTGGCAACAGCTGATGTGAAAATCAGGACATTTTGGTCACACGTTGTTCACACTTCCTGTGGTCGTCTCTTAAACGTCGATTTCCCGCTGTCACATGAACGCAGCCCCACATCGGATTCAGTTCTCCTCACGTCCGTCTTCGTCCCCGTGTCAAATGGAAGCTCAGTCTGTTC